GCTTCTGCTATTATTGATTTGCTTGTATTATCGTTTTTATCGAAGGGCCAGATGACCAGTAGGTTTACTTGTGCCATCGGCGTATAAGTTCTGAGCGAGTAACGTAGCGCTGCCCATATGAACAAAAGCAATCTCTGTTTCTATCAGTTTTCTTTTTCAATTTCTTGGATATCGGCCACTTAAAAAACAATTCGCGCAATCGTACACCGTAATGGTGGCTGAACTCTTTCCAGCGATGATCCTTCGCCAGTAACGTTCAACAGTAGACGACGGTCATCAAATGGAAGTAATTCATGTGATGAAAGTACTAACTCAGGAATTCCACGACTTTTCTCTCGTGATATGCTGCACGTAAGGTTTTGGAAAACAATTCGCCTTTTTATGTGTTTTGTGCTGCAGCGGTTGCACAAAGCGCGTATTGTCCCGATACTGTATGTGTATGTGCGGATGTATGTATGTATTTATGTATGCGTGTATGTATGTGTGTATTGTATATAAGTATGGGTGTATGTATGGATGTATGTGTTTATGTATTTGTGTTCAGGATACGTTTTGTCCGAGTCTGCAACTTAGAAATCAGAAAAGCTAGGGAGCCGAAATTTAGGAAGTTGTTCTACGTCTATGTGCAATACAGAGATAGCAAGTTCAGTTTTCAGTTATGCTTAGGTTTTGTATATATACACGTGAGAGTTTTTTTGATAATTCGAGAAACAAGAAAGCTGGGAAGCTAAAATTTTAGGAAGCTGTTACGCACCCGTACATGACATCGAAAATTTAGGTTCAGCTTTCACGTATGTCTATCTTTTACGTACGGACACATGAATGTTTTAACGGGTGATTTTCTAACTTCGGAATTAGGCAAGACAAAAGGCAGAAATTACAGGAGAATGTTTCCTGCTCATATGCGACTCCGAAAACTTTAGGCTTAGCTTCGCATATGCCTAAGTCTCACGTGTAGGTACATGAAAGTTTGGCGGACCAGAACATTCTGAAAATTTCTGCTTATATTAAACAGCATGGCAGTGAACATTTTTCAGCGTCCGCTAAACAGAACTGCACAAAACACATGATCGCACCAGCGGTTCTGCTGCCTGCCTTTAACGAAACCCATCATTTGCATGTTTATTTTCATCCGTTAGAAATATACCGTATATGTGGACATAGGCGCTTTGCTACGGATTTAATACTCGATGGGTAACTTACGGCGGGAGGACTGTTGAGGGCATGTGAGTGTATTTCAGTCACATTTTAAACTTGACGTCGATATTTGGGAGATTCCTAGAATTTCTGCACAACTTCATTTATCAGCTGCGTATTTGCAGTGAATCGGCAAATTTCAGGAAAGTCGGTCTGTTTCAACTGGCACATCTAGCTCACCTTCACCAGCGCGTCGCCTTTCGAATACGCTAGTTGTTGAAAGCACCAGTGCATACGAGCCATCTGCTACTACTAGCCATGCAGCTGAACAAAATAATGCATTTTATCGGCATAACAGGTCGCTTCTTCCTTCTTAAACACTTTAGTATTGAATAATTTTTCCAGAAAACTTCTCTGGAGAATCAGCTAGACATATCACCGTTTTTCTTTACCTACTAGCTCCTCTCCCTACCCCCATTCACACACACACACACACAAACTTATGTCGTTCTGCGGTTTAATTTAATCTGTAGTGCTTCTCAATGTTTATCCATGAGTCACTTTGCAATCTCTTCCGCTAATCCAGCCTAATCCATGTGAACTGAAATCCTCCGTAATGGCAGTTTGATGTTGCTTTGGATGTTCAGCAGCTTTTTTCTGAATAC